AGCAAAGCTTGGCAGTTGGTGGAAAGGGGCTCCCATATTTGCTTGTCTTGAGGCCACCAGCTTTCAAGGAGAAGGGCCAGTTAGTACTGGCTGTCAGGGGACTATTGTTGCCCCACCATGTGCTCAGGAAAGGGACCAGTCTCTTCTCTGCACCCTGAGTCTGTCCTCACTGTTATCTGCCCAGGAAGCCAGTTTTCTTTGATCCCTGGGATAGTCAGCCTCCAAGAAGCTGATTCACACATGCCAAACTCAAACAAGATCAGTTGACAAGTGAGATTCCACTTGATTAATTTACAGAGGCTCTAAGCAAGATAGCAGGTATCAGGCACAGACACTTCCTGTCAAGGAGCACCAGTCCATTCCACCAGGCTTCTCCAGGGCCCAACCACTCAGAACTTACAACCTATTCACTTTAGAGGCTTGGTCAGAACCGGGAAGATTTGGAGACATTCTTCTCATCAGCAAGATTATTTTTGTTTTAACTCTGTCCCCTGTCTTGCAAGTTTGTGATTTGTATTCTACAGTTCGTTTGTGATTTGTATTCTATGAACGAACAGCAGGTGTCTCCCGTGTGCGCATCCCCTTCCTGAGCAGTCTGTGGCTCCCATGCCCACCCCCCCCCCCGCCCTTGTGGATTTGTCTAGATGGATCTGTGTCTGGGGGGAGTGACTGTGCACTGAAGCAGCCCTGGGTATCAGCGTGCGTGTGGGCCCGACTCTGAGGACCGGGCCCCTGTGATCCAAGCCTCCCTCCCTCCGCCTCTCCTGCTGGGACATAAATTACCTTTCTGGTCTCTCCCCCGCTCCCTCCCACTGGGGCTTGTCATAAAGGGCCGCCACACGGGGAAGACAGGATGGAGGCTGCTGGAAGGTCCTCCATGGAGTGGAGTGGGGACAAGGGAGAATAGGAGGGTGGGACGATGGCCTCCATTCCCCTTGAAGGGGTAGACTGGGGCTGGGGGTCCCTGGAAAGAGAGCACTGCATGTCAGTGAAGCTTCTGGGATCAACGTGGCCACCCCACTCTAAGGGCCCCATGTGAAGTGGGGCTGGGGAGCGGGCTGGGGAGTGGGCTGGGGTTGGAAGAAGTGAAGGGGAGGAGTGCTCAGGACTCAGCCCTGAATCAGGGAGAAGGTGCATTTGGGATGAATCCTGGGACAGGGAGACAGTCTCACACTTTCTCCCTGGGGATTTGGGAAAGTTGGAGATGTCACCCACAAGGGTTTTGCTAGAGTGATGACATCACACAAGCTACATTTGCATACATACAGAGACTTATAGATCTGTGCATTTTATCCATTTTGATCTAGAAAGGGCTTCAAGCAGATGCACAATGAGGTGAGTACTGAGGAAAAGCTGAGGAGAAAGATTCTGGTTTGAAAAATTGCCTGTCTCCATGAGTCAGAGACTAAAGTGACTGTTTTCTTCCAACCAGAATAAGGCCCCAAGGGAGGCAGGTTTGGGCCTAGCCCAGGTCAGAGCCGAGATGGCTTCACCCCCACCGTGGCCTAGGCCTCTGGCCCACAGGATGGGAAGGGCATGGCCAGCCTGAGCCACCGTGGGGAGAGGAGGGGGACCAGGCCAGAGGACAGAGGGGAGGACCGGTGGGGTCAGACATCTCGCTGGCTGGCTTCTTCCTGGGCAGGGCAGCAGGAGGACAGGCAGTGGCCGGGCTCTGCCCACTGTGGTCTAAGGCGTGTCTCAGGAGCCTCCCATTGCAGTGCTATTTCCTGGGAGGGCTGGGTCCACATCAGATGCCCTGGTGCTGACTGGTCTCACTTGTCATCATCAGCCCGAGGAAGCAAGGTCTCTGTCGGGCAGCACAGGGTGTGCTTAGGTGTGTGTCTGGTGGGATGCGGGATCAGGTCACGGTGGGCAGTTCTGGAAGGCACTGTAGGAGCTGGCAGCACTGGGCAGTTGGTGGAGGGGTGCTGGGGGACCCTGTGAAGAAGTGGGGGGAAGCTGGACATAGCTTTGAGTTACAGCCTGGCCTGACCAGGCTTGAAGCCCCAGCCTCAGGAGCTGCGGAAACCCACCTGGGCTCTGCTTTCAGATTCTTCCTCCCTTGAATGCCTAGTGGTCAGCGCCTAGCACCTTCGCTATCCTGTCCCAATGCAAGGGAGGGATCTAGGTTGGTTCCCGATCCAAGAGCTGCTTCTGGATCTCCATGTGCCCTTCAGGCCATCCTGCTGTGCTTACTCTGGCCCTGGTCCAAGGGTCAGCATGAGCCAATGACAGGAATCAGAGCAGGGGCCCAGGCTGGATCTCAGCAGCTGAAGGTAAAATTAGAAAGAGAGATCAGAAACACTGACTTTGGCCTGTCTGGGGTACAGCCTTGATGTCTAGAGCATTCAGTGTTCAGATTTCTAAATACCTTAGAGCTCTCAAAATCCAGGATTCCCAATACCAAGGGTGCCAGAGCTCTGAACACCACAGGGAACCCGAAACCTACAGTTCCCAGCACCCAGAGGCCCTAAATGCCAGAGCACCTCATGTCTAGATCTCTGGGGTTTCTAACATTCAGCACTCAGAGTGCCAATTCACTGGAAAGGAATCTGGAGTGGGGGGAGTGCTGGCCCTGTTGACCCAGGCCCCTTCAGTGACTGGCATTGCCAGAGGAGAGGCCATCACAGGAGCCGGGCCAGGGGTGGTGCTGGAAGGAGAAGCGATGCTTCCTTGATGCTCTCATCCTGTCCTGAAGTGGGATGGAGACTGGTGACCTTTGCTCCAGTCCCTCCCCACCCCAGGTCACATGACCTGTGTAAGTGAATGTCCACTGACTCTCCACGTGTGAATGCACATCTGCTCTGTGTTGGGGACTGTGCTGATTTCTAGGAACTCAGCCCTGAGAGGAAAGGAACTCCTGTTCCCTATATGGGAACGCGACCGTGTGCCTGTGTCCCCTGTCGGGGTGAGACAGCCTGTCTCTGAGGCCCACGTGTAGTCAGGGGCTTGGCTGTGACAAGGAAGGGCTGCTGGCCTGCGAGAGTGTGGCTGTCAGGCTGTGAGCCCAGGCAGTCAGCAAGTTGACGGGTCTGACTATGTCTCCCCATTAGGCCGTCTCTGCCTCGATGCTTTCTTAAGGGGTGGAGGGAAGGCCCCTATTCCGTCGGATCGGGCCTCCCTGCAAGGAGCAGGAGGCTAGTCCTGGGCTAGAGTCTGACACCCAGAGCCGTTCTGTTGAGGGATGAGAGATTCCTCCCACTGCCCCTGCCCCCGCTGAACCCAGAGCCTCCTTGGATTGGGAGGAGTGGCTATAAGTGGAGCAGCCAACACCAAAAATGGCCATCCGCCCTGGGGAAAATCCTGAGACACCACCCCCTCCTCCCAGTCCAGCCCACCCAGCCGGGGGACCTGGAGCCTGGGTAAGGCTCCTGTCTGACTCCACCTCCCCAGATCCTGTGTGAGTAACCCTTTCAGACCACGAGGAGGACAAAGCCATGATGTGCCTGCCAATGATGACCTCACAGGGAGCTCTGACATGATGCGGAGCGACACCGGGCCCCAAGTAGGGGGTGTCTGGCGGCCCAGGTGGGTAGGTCTCTGTCTGCTGGCAGCACTCCACAACTCCCAGCAGCTGAGGATGGCGAGGCTGGGTAAGGTTTACTGGGGGGCCTGCCATACCAGTCTCCCCCACATGCCTTATAGCCTCCTACCCCTGGGCTAGCTCAGGGAGCAGACTGGGAGCTGGCTGGAAGAGGGGAAGGGGTCAGCTGGGGCTGGCTGAGCTCCAGGGCAGCCAGCCAGAGTCAGGGAGCCCTGGCAGACCCCCACAAAGGGGGTGGGAGGGGTCTCCAAGGCAGCCATGGCTGCCTGCATTCTTATCCCAGGAGTTCCATTTGATAGCCAGGTAAACTGGAACCTCCCTTTCCTCAATATTCCTCAACAGAAGACAATCAGTAGTGGCTACCAATCACAGTACTGTTGTGACGATTAAACAGGGTGAAGTAGGCACGGAAGAGGGCCTGGTACATAGTAAGTGCTCATCCTCCTTCCTAGGGAAAGCCAGGATCCCATCAGGGGCCCACCTGGCCCAGGAGCAGCTCCTGGCCGGCCTGAGCCTTGGTGGGGTTTCCAGAATCTGTGCAGCCCCATCCCCACCCCATCCCAGTCTGCGCTTGACTGCAGACTCCCCAGGAATCCTAGGCTTCCTGGCAGGGTTTCTTCCAGCAGCCTGCACTGACATCTTGGTGCCCTCTGGTGAC